GAGCTTTGTCACTGTCACGGCCTTATAACCATAAAAAACCATACAAAGTCATGCTCTCAATATTTGGTTTAATGATAATATCTGAACAACAGTGGTGGGTAACACCGTTGGTATGGTGTTAAAATGATTTTAAAAATTATAGTTTAACCTACCAACATACAATAACCTGACTCAATTAGTGTAAATATAACTAAATAATTGATTAAAATAAAATGATTAAAATAACTCATGTAAATTAGTCAACAAATGAATAAATATAATAATATATATAATATAATAATATTTATTTAAATTAAATTTCAATTATTAGTGTAATAAGATTGAATAGAAAATTAAAACATCAAGAAAAGTTTGTAGAAGCAATATTATTCTATAAATCGATACGATTAACTATAGTCCCTGAATAAAGTAATCGATTGAACATGGACTGGTATTATAATTTCCTGATTGCATTACTCGAAGTCGTGAATACTTCTAAATAAAAAAATATCTTGAAACTGTTAATGCAAAATACTAATGTAAATTATTTACTCAATACCATCTGTAGTCATTTTTTAGTCGTCTTCCTTAACACAATAACTTATTAGGTATTGTATATTGAGAGTTCTACACAAGTTAGTATTAATTTAAATTGATTTAGAATGATGCCTTGTAATTTAATTTCAACGTCATTGGTAGTTTCACAAATGCAGATAAAACACTAATTACAGCAATATTCTCTATGTATCCCTTCAAAGGGCACCAGAGTGCATCGTAAATTAACTGCCACATACTTACTAGTTCAATAGAATACTAATTGTCTTAAAATAATAATTAATTGAACATACATAATTTACTGTATCGACCTATTGGTGATGCCATCATATCCTGCATTTATTAATAAACAGGATACGGCCTTTATGTGGAATGCTAAATTACATTCACAAATGGGCATGTGACTTAAGTGCAACTGCAAATGCTGCACTTTCATTAGGCGAATAGATATTGCACTCAGTTGGGAGTAGGGAAGTGTGTGCGTAGTACTTTAGTAATATGTAACTAAATTGATTCCACACTTCAACTGCAAATTCCTATCAGTTGTTAAATTACATATTCATTAAGTGCCTGACAACAAGAAGATAAATGAATGAGCCAGCAATGCATCTTTTTTGTGTTTCTGCCGACGAATACAGTGCAGTCGAACCGAGCTGTAACCCATAAATGCACTATGAGAAGTTCTACTCCGGCTTGGCATATGTTGTGTTGTCTTTTGAAATTCCAAAATTAAAAAAAAGAAACTAAAATTCCACAAAATGTGTTTATGGATATTTAACCATGTGTGAAGTGCCTTCAAGTGGTTGCATTATTGAACTGCGTCAGTATTTGATGCGCTACTGATTGAAGCGTAACTAATTCTGTTGTTGGTTAATTTGTAACAATTTGCCTCTTGAGTGAGATCAAAGAAGCTTGACTGATAGTTATAAGTGTTTGTCTTTGATATTGAATGTACTTCATTTAACTAATAGTTTTGTTTTCACACAATTTGCTTCACATTTTTTTTTATTTATGTACAATAATTTGTTTATTTTTTATTTTACAGATCAATACAAATGGCATACTGACTCTCAATGTTGAATTTTCCGACTTTATTAATCAACCATTCCCGCTGGAGTATCCTTCAATAGCACCATTCTATTCGAATGTGGATACCACAGATGCGAATTGGAGCTCTAACATTTCCATATTCGAGTCGGTAGATGGGGATCAGTTACAGAAGGCGACTGATTTGGTGCATTATGCATTTAATGATCATGAAGCATTCCATGCTGACCGATTAATTGTTGGAACTTGGCAAAACGTTGGTTATTTCGATCGAAAAACAGATAAATTAAACACTTTTCAGGTACAAATAACAATTTTTTATTATTTAACTGCAGTGAAAAGGGGATATACAATTATAATTCAAAATGATGAGCCAGCACTATGACAATTGATATTATTTATTTATTTTTCTACAATAATTCAATAGTCTTACAGTCAAGCTATAATTAGCTTAGTAGTTTTTAATAGATACGCGTATACATTATAATAGTATTTCAAACATTGCGTCTACATTGGTTAGACTTTGGCAAGTAATTTGCCACTCACACTTTTTTAGAATAAAAATATGTATTCACTTTCGAACATAAAAAACTTGCCAAGCGAATGCAGACATTCAGAAAGTGTTCGAACATCATAATGTTCGAAGAATTCGAAAACGCTAGAATTCAAACAATTGTTCGAATATGCTAGAACTGTTGAAATACTTACTTTAAACTCGAATATACTCGAATTTTAACATTTGTTTGCAGATGTTCGAACAGTTCAAAGAGTTATTTTGGTCTATCTTTTTCTTTTTTTTCTTATTGTTTTATATAAATACGCATAATATTAAATTTTCGAACACTGCTGGAGTGCTATAATCGGGCGTAAGCAAATTCGTTTGCCTAAAATGCTCAAATTTTTGTACAGTACAAATAGTATTCGAAACTCTACTTTAAAAGCATTTTTCTAGGTCGCTATAATAGCAAATAATGAAGAGACATTTGTGCAATTTATTTATCCTGCTGGTGGACTTAATTGGTTACATGCTGAAACAGGAGATCTAGGTTTACAAGACATACGTGCCCAAGCTGGTTTTATATCTGAAGACGGACGTGTATTTCATTTGACTGGTTCAGGGACTGATAATGTAAGTCGGAACTAATTCTGCTAACACAAATTAGTAATTTAAATGTTTTATTTATAGGCAAGACATCTAAATGAAGACTCTAATGTTGGAGTGCCCGGAGTTTGGGTCTACCGTGTCGGATCTTTGACTTATACTGAAAATGTGCAGGACCCCACAAATACTGATACTATAACTGAATTACCTATTCATGAAACTTGTGCTGATGGCAATTACAGATTTTGTCACTCGAATGCGCTGTGTGTTGACAAATCTGTTGGTTTCTGTTGCGTTTGCAAAAATGGTTTCTACGGCAATGGACACAGTTGCATTAAAAATGACTATCCAATAAGAGTTACTGGAACATTGTCTGGTCAAATTAATGGTGAAACTATAGATGAGCGTTCTAAATTGCAATCTTATGTAGTGATGGCTGATGCCCGTAGTTATACCGCAATTAACCCGATAAGTAGTGAACTTGGTGCTAATATGCGTCTTGTATTGCCGATTGTTTCTACAATTGGCTGGCTTTTTGCTAAACCAGTTAACGATGCTGTCAATGGCTATCAATTGACTGGAGGAGAATATTTCCATAGCTCAAAACTACAGTTTGAAAGTGGTGAAGTTCTTTTTGTAAATCAAACATTTGAAGGGTTAAACTACTGGGATCAGTTGGCAGTAAGAATTGTTATACATGGCGGAGTTCCAAAGATCAATCACCGCGCAACGCTACATATGGCAGATTATATAGATGAATATAGATTTGTGTCGCCAAATGAATTACGTTCCGTTTACGCACATACATTAGAAGTTCCAGAAGAGAATCGTGTGATTAACTATCAATTGGAGCAGACTATACAATTTGATAGCTGCCTATTAGATACAGATGTCGACCCTACAGATACAAATGTTTTGCAAAAGGTTTCAAAAATTGTTTTAGGTTACAATGAACGTGATCAAGCTTTGCGTACTAGTGTCTTAACAAAAATTGGTGTCGATGCCGAGTCCAATGCTTGTACGGATGGTAGTGTTGAGTGCGGCGAAAACACAGTTTGTGTGCCATATGAGGATACTTATCGGTGTGATTGTTTGCATGGCTATAGTCCTGCTGTCAATGATAATGGGTTAGAAAGTTGCGTCGATATTGATGAATGTGCTTTGAACATACATGTTTGTGAT